CCCTGCCACAAAACCACCTGCCACTGACTATGGAGTGGTGCAGCTCCAGAAATCACTCATGTCACTCCTCTGCTGGTGCTCTGAAAACTGTCCGAAAAGCCTACGCTGCGCCAGCCAACACTCGCGTACATAAGACCCCTCCACGGGATCCTGGAAGACCCCTTCACCTGCTGCGAAGTCCCAGCTGGCTGAGCAATGGCAACTCAATACAGCAGTGGAAATTCGGCTTGGAGCTCTGGGTAAACACTGTCTGCTCCTCCCGGGGTTCACACTCAGCTCGTCAACACAGACATTTTGTCTTCTCCAAGCGCCCAAGGAACTGACCATAGGAGCAACACAGAAGAGCCCAAAACCGGCACGCGCCGCCCTGCCCCAACTCACATCCAGCAGTCTGTGCGCCGGCGGCACTCAGAACCCAGCGCTGGTTCTCCTGGCCGCAGCCTGCTAATGAACCCATTTGCTCAACACAACAGGGGACACAGCTGCTCTCTGCCGTTCCTCTTTAAGTGACCTGATTCCATGCAATTATTTACCAAGTCTCCCTCTGAGACAGTCTAACAATCAGCTATGAGCTTTCTTCTCACGGATTTTTCCTTACCAATGCACCAGCGTCTTGATGCGATGAGCAGCACCACAAACCAGAATTACTCCACAGGAAGCTGGTAGTCCGTGTACCATTCAGAGTGCAGAACTGCTAAAGGCTACACCCGAGGCCAGGGATGACATGATAACAACAGAAGTGGGGAAACTCAGGTGATTTGCCCTGTACAGGTCTATACACACACATACGCTCTTTAGTTCCCAGCAGCTGAGCGAGCTTTGCCTGGAACTGCTTGTTCAGGTAGGAAAGCAAAGTTTGGAGATATGTCCAAAGCTCTGGGAGGTGTAGATGCATGGTTCCCATTCAAACCCTAATTAGAACAACACTGAATAGCAATGCCATCAAAATCATGAGAGTTCACCTATCAGCACTCGTTTCAGGAGATTTCAAAAAGGAACACAAATTTATTCAAAAATTTGTGATGTTCAATGTGGTTTAGCCTTATTTTTTGTGGTTAGCATTGATAAGTTCTACCTCATTCTAAACATAAATCCAATATCCAATAAATGTAACTACCCACCACCCCAGAGGAACCCTGTAACTACAGGACGTTGGCCACTGCATCAGGCAGTGTATGAGATGTTACCTCTTGAAATGTTACCGATGTTCTAATGAAATTAACCTGCAGACTCTAACAGTAGTAGAGTCTTGTCTAAAATTCCTTTCCACTGCCCCACTGCAGGAAAACGTGCTGAATCAAACGAAGGGGGAAGAATTAGTGCATCTTTTATCACTCAGCTGGTCAATCTCATGGCTAATGGTTGGAAAAGGACTATAACCAGAGCACGTAGGTTGCATTTACCAGTTACTCTTAAAGGAAAGAGACCCTTTTATGTACACATTTCCCTTATAGATATATGGGGTTCTGCAATAAAATTTGAATAGTATTATTTTTCTGTCAGTAAATCCAATGATAAATTGCTTTCGTCTTTGCTGATTAACATCAATTCAGTCCAATATCAATAAGGTATTAAGCCAGGCTATTTGCAGTACAAAATAAACCACAAAATCAGAATCAGGAGGTGATGAGATGAAAGCGCTGCCAAGGGAAGCCCTGGGAACAGACCACTGCTCGGCCATCAATCCCATGCTGTTACTGCGTGGTCCTGGGAGCTGCTCATAGAAATAGAACTGGGTTATGGTAACGAGCAATACCTGCCTAGGAAGAAACCACAAGGGAACACACAAATAAACTCTCTTTTGCTTGTCGGGGGTGGGGGGAAGGGGGCAAGAGGGTAAATTCTTGTTTAATTAAACAGGATTCCCCTGAAAGCAGAGCCCCGGTCAGTGGAATGGACGAGGAGCCCCCCACAAGGGTGGGGACGGGTGCCTGGTGCACGCACACGCCTTGGCCAGAGCAGCACGGGCACCCACTGCCGTTCGCCCGCGGCAGCGCCCGGGCAGCCCCCCGCCGACGGCTGCCCACACTGGGCTGGTGGCGCGACGCCCATCCTTCTGCGGATGGAACATCCCAAAACTGGCTTGCAGCAGAGAAGCCGGCCGGTCTGGTCTCGATGATGTCTCTAGCTGACACTGCTGACCTAGCCAGTGAGCAAAGGAGCACTGTCTTACCATAAATTAACCAGGAAGGGGTGCTCCAGGCCCTGCATGATCTGCAGCTCCTTGAAAACGTTTCTCACTTCATTGCGCTCCACGCACTTTTGTTTATTCATGTATTTCATGGCATACATCTTCTTGGTGTCGTTCTTCTGCACAACACACACCTAAGTGAGCAAATCAAGGGATAAATCAGAGATGATGTGTCAGCAAGTTTAGGCGGGTAACACTCCATCACACGAGCGTTCTCCAGGGGCTTTCGCAAAGTCCCCACTGCCGAGTCACGGCTCCACACGCTGACGCTGCAACGCCAGGCATCGCCAGCAGACCCCTCACACGGTTTTCAGCCAAAGAAGAAATTTTGCTGGGGGGAAGGTGAGGGGAAGGAATTTATCACCACAAAGACAGGAGATGTTGACTCATGCACGATTCCCTATTTTATTTAATAGCGCTATCTCATCTTGGTTGTGTCTGTCCCTCCCACACCAGTTACTCTTCGGAAGAGTCCTTCCCACCGCAGCACTACAGGTTGGAAAGTGGGGAGCAGCACCTGACCTCCCCCTTCTTGATAAGTCTCATTCAGCTCACACAGAACCTTGGGCTTTGCCGGAGGGGTATTGGGGTTTGAATTTTAACCCTTCTTACAGTCATATTTCAAATCTAGAAAGAAACGTTGCTTCAGTGAAAGACTCAGAGTTTGCAAAATTGCAAGGCAAACCAGACTGGTTTTTCAGGTTTGTTTCCACAAGAGTTTACAAGTTTGGGATGAATTTGCAAAGTTTCAGTCAACCTTTTTCGTTTCGCCACCTAATGAATCTCTTTGTCTAGAGATTTTTGTGGCACTCTGCACGTGAGGCACACCCTCTTTGTGGCATGAGAGTGCCTTTATGTGAGGGGGCAAATGACCTTCTGGAATTCTGTCAGGACACATATAACAGCGCAAAAATAAAATGTGTGACTGTAACCTGATGCTTAATACCAAACACTGTGTTTCACAGACAAACATCCTCTTAAAAAAATTGCCAGGCCTTTCATGTTGATTGTAGTTCTTTATTAAAGATGCATCATGATGTTCAGTGTTGCTTCGCTGGGGAATCTTAGAAAATGCTTATCCAGAAGCATAATGAAATTCAGCTCATTTGATTTATCAGTATCTCATTTTAATCTCCTGTAACATAATTTGTGGCTATGGAATGGATGAGGAATGGGGCTGTGATTCCTTCTTGATTACCAGGAGTTGAAGCTCCGGTCAGAGCTCATTGACAAGGCAGGGGTTATTTCTTTACCTCACGTGAGCCTCTGATCTGCCCGTTTCTCATTTACATTTTCAGCTGTCCAAATGGTGATTAGTTCACAAAATACTTACTTTTCCAAAGCTGCCCTTTCCAATAGCTCGCAAAATTTCAAAATGGTCGAAGGTGACTGCAAGAAAGAGCAAACATTCAAACATTAAATGGCTGAGCAACCACTTGATTATATTCCATTATTTCTACTATTTTTTTCCTTAAGACAAGAGCTGAGAAAAACGAGGGACACCCTAGCAACTTTCTGGTGCTTTTGGGGTGGGAGATTTGGGTGCTGTTTAAAACCTGGGTGTTTATCAGGCTTTTTTGCTTTCCAGCTGAGCTGCACAGGCGAGAGCCCTGGGTCAGCCATTGTCAGTGGTGGACCGGGCAAGGAACCATCAAGTGAGTGTTTTCACTCTGCCCTGCCTGCTAAACATGAAAGTCTTGTCTCATCATAGAATCACAGACTGGTTTAGGTTGGAAGGGACCTTGAAAATCATCCAGTTCCACCCCCCTGCCCTGGGCAGGGACACCTCCCCCCAGCCCAGGTTGCTCCAAGCCCCGTCCAACCTGGCCTTGAACACCTCCAGGGATCTTCTTCCTGCT